AAAAACAAAGTAAAATTTTTATATTTTTTTCTGTCTAATGTGGAGTAGGGCGTATGAGCAAAGTTGCATATTCTTTCTGTATTTTAAGTCATCCACATACTGCAATAAAATAGGCATTTTACTACTTATTATTATTTTCAGGAAAAAGGAACATAGAAAGCTTTGCCATGCTGTTGATTTGGCAACTTCGGACTCCAGGACTACCTACTTCCCTTTCCTAACTTTCATCTTTCATTGCTACCTCTGTTTCATTCAAGAAATACTAATGTATTGACCCCAGATATCTTGGGGGCTCCAAACATATCCAATGTCCTTACTTTAAATTAGGCATTTCTAGTTTTTCAAAGTCAATGCTGGAATTGAGTTATCTTACCCTTGAATAATCCTACTTAATTTTCCAGAGCATGTCTTTCAAAAATCTGGCTTCAGTTATGTCATCAAGCTTTTATAGCACTATTTCCTAAGAAAATGGACTAATGTCTTTAGGGAAGAAGTAAGATTTATTTCTAATATATTGAAGCAGTCTTTAAAAGCTGATGTAAATGATACAAAACTAAACTATTAGGTATTACAAGCTTCTTCACACACAGGGAAAAGAAAGGGAAGTTCATTGTCATGAAGTTTACTATTTAATTTGTATTTCTACCCACACAGGGCTTTACTGACACAGTACCTACAGAAGCCTAGGACTACTTTCAACTCATTCTAGTAAGTCACACTTTCATTTGCTGGTGAGGCTGTATTGTCTTTCACGTGAAAATCAAAGACACACGAGAAATTCACAACAATAAGCTTCCCTGGACAGAATTAGAATACAACACAAAATTGGTTAATCACACAAAGAAAACATGCTTATCTGACATTACTCAAAATTACAGCATGAGGCATGACATGAGACAGCAGTAATACCGCATCTCCTGCGGGAGGATCAAGTCCCCTGGCCACATGGCCAGAAGGCTGATCTACTCCCTCTCCTCACCCTAAGACATAACACAAAGCTTTTCAAATATTTAGAAGAGCATGACACGTTCATACAATCGCTTTACTTGTAATCCTGATCCAGTGTCGAAAGAAATAGCACCACTAGTTCTTTTATCTTACAGAAAAAAACATTTTCCCAATTAAAAATCATGCACATAGCCTTCAGTCATCTGCCAATCCACTAAAAAGTCTTAGAATGCAAAAGCCTGAGCTATAGCTACAATATTTTAGGTGTATCATCATCATCTCAGTTCCTATTAACACTATTCCATGTCCCCTACCCCAGAAAAGCACAGTCCAAAGCAAGAGAGCACGCTTTGGAGGCTTTCCTTATAAAAGCTTTCTAGCGAATAACATTCTGCTGTATTTAAAATACAGAAGTCAAAGATTTATGCAAAGTGAAGAGCAACACCTAGTTAACATAATTTGATGTCTCCATGAGTCAAAGAAAACACTGTTCTGATTTCCAATTTTACACACATGCTAATATTAGATGCATGTAATCGATACAAGAAATGTGAAGATTTCGGCAAGACTAAACCACCTCCAAATCAGTTCCAAGGTAGTTCTGAACTGCTTCAGTCTATTAGAGAAGCATCCCTAGTTTTGATGAACATTCAGTTAGCTTTGCTAACTGCTGGACATGCACTGTGAAGCCAGCAACTGAGAGTAGGTTTATAGTTAGCTGCATCCCTGATAGTCTGAAACAATAATGTTATGCTCATACAATGTCAAACGCAAATAGCCCGTTTCAGAACGGTAAGAGTCAAGAACACCATTCTTTACTACATGGGTTATAAATGAACAAAAAACCAGTAGCAAATCGCCGTTTAGGTCCTTTCACAGGTTACTTGAAAAAATAATCCATGATTACTCTCTATATACAGAAAAAAGCTTATTCCAGCTATTACAAAACAGGCTGGAAGTTTTACAATTATCAGTTTAAATACGTGCCATACCAAAGCAAAACGAGTTACCTTCTTTTTCTCAATGTTCCTGATCTTGTGTTTGAGGCAGATAAGCCCATTATCAATGTAAGTCTCATATGCCTGGGAAGGAGAGGCTGCCGAGTTCAGCGCAGACTGCAGGGGGCTGGAGGGAGGCTGGGCTGCCCCCCCCCAGACGGGTTCACCTGCTGCTTGGCCGCCTTCATGCTCTTATCCTCCCCCTCCTCTGACCGGCCTGAAGGTGACGATGGGCGACGGAAAGGGGCTTGGGAAAGCTGCACCATTGAAATGGATGGAGCTGCAAAGAAACTCCTTTTATTTAGCTTTCTCTCGACTCCCCCCCACCCCCTCGCTTTTTTTTAATGTTACATCTTTCCTTGTCATACGTTCAGAACATGAAGCCACAAAATTGAGCCTCAGTGAAAATTCATCACAGTCTCCCACTCTCCTCCCTCCCCCTTTCAAAATATCTGTAGCAGGAATTTCAAAGCAAGGCAAACTTTGTATTGTTCAAGTCTCCCCACCCATCCAGACACCAGAAATCCTTTACATAGGCAGAATCAGACAGCACAGGGGATGGTTCCAGAAACCCAATATAGTGCCCATATAAAACTAGGCGGGTTTCCTGCACACATCACCCACAAGGGAAAAAACTGCAAGCAAGCAACTGCAAATCATGCCACCAGCCTCACATCCAGGCTGCAGCCTGAATGAAGATTTAGAAGTGGCATGTCTGAAGGTATAAGCCCTCTTCTTCTCACCCCCATTAAACCAGTTTTATCTCTCCATGACCTCTGCAGCAATCCAACCGAGAATTTACACTAAAAAGATTTCCATTGAAAAAGTGAAGACAAAGAAAAAAAGCTTAAAATTGCTTAATAAAGCAAGCAGCACACTCAGTTACAACAGCATCATTCTCCATGAGAAATCAGTCTCTGGCTACACCCATCCAAAAAAGATGTGCCTGTGCCATGGCAAGACACCAGCTGTGATGGGAGGGGCTGGGCTTTAACCTTGAACAGAGAATTTCCGTAAGAGATGCTCCACCACCCTCATCTTCAACTACTTACACCTGCTCCTGGAAAGCAATGACACCACATTTCTGCCTCCCTGCCCGCCAGGAAGGCCTGCGGCACATGACCCCGGCGGGCACCGGCCGCCCACGGTGAGGGACCGGGCAGGAGAAAACCTGCATTTCCCCGGGACGCCCGCTCGGCCCCC